AATTTGCATTTGAAGCTAAATAGTAGGAATAAAGACGCTTTACAGCCCGAAATCTTCTTGCAAAGTAAAACAAAGTGAAATGAAACTTTGAGGTAAATACGTTATAATCCGCCGAGAAATTTGGGCGAATGTCTGAAAGCTCTCGCTTTTACATTGGGTATTATTCTAGACTATTCTGCATTCGACCGCGCCGCCTTTACCGGAATACAAAACAACAGCGGTCAAAAAGTCGCAGTTTATCCTTAGTCATTACGGTGGTTTTAAATCCTGCTGGGACTGGTTGATTCTCATCGCGACCTTTTACGTGGCAATAATCGTTCCCTATAACGCGAGCTTCATCAACACCGATAGGCCTACCATGGTCAGTGACGTTGTCGTCGAAGTGCTCTTCATTATCGGTGAGTATATCCTGCCTCCAATTTTCGACCCTCGTGCCCTTTAGACCTCTCTTTATCCCTTCATCTCCCTGATGAGATTCTCATCTCTGAAACCGTAATCCTCCAGGATCATTTCAGGTAAATGGAAAATTCCTCCTCATTTAGAAAAAGTGATAGGAGCCTAACACGCCTTCGTTCCGATATATCCGATATGAGATTAATTAGCTCGCCGTTTTAGATATCCATTGTTCACAATACACGTCCGTTCTCGGCGTCAACAAATTAGGGGTGTGCATGCGTATCGACGACTATTAAACGTTACGCTGTACGTCGCATAATCGCATAAATGAATATCTGCTACATCTGCTAAATAAGGAAATAAATCAAAATCGAATAATCATCGGGCGCGTGATTGCAGAGCGGAATAGATATAAATTCCAAACCAGCGTGATATCGGGAAGGGGCCGGGGGGGGAGGGGTGAAGAGAGGGGGCGTAGGATCCTCACCCTTCGATGATCGAAAATGTCACGCTGTTATTTCTTGCTTCGGTTATTTCTACAATTTTATACCTTTCAATCGATATTAAAGTAAAATCAAGATCTGATCCGTTAGCCTCGTAGTCGAAATCGATTGCCCTCGCTATCTTGGAATAATGTTTCCGTGAAGGAAATGAGAAAAGTCCCCTCATCATTCAATTGGCACAACACGTGGAGCTTGTTAGACCGAAATCAAGAGAAGTATTTACAGTCTTCTCTCTCCCCTATGTGTCGCCCCTATAATGCGTGGGCTTACGTTTCAGCCCACACTCCAGCACACGACAGCTTCTTCCTTCAGATGGGGAACGTGCCAAAAGTGTTTTTGCGTAAATGTTTTTCCAAAATGTACCTTCTGCGTATCTTCCAATCAATGATGCCGAGAGCCGGAGGAAGCGACACGTTTAACCGTAAATCCGTGTTAATCGAATAAATAAAGCTACCATAACTTTTTGACGATATCGAAAGAAAGTTACGACGTAGAAAGACGGGTCAATTACGCGGGGATTTAATGATGATGAAAAAAAACCCCCGCTATCGCCTTTAAAAAAAGCCGCGCTTAATTGCGAGCGAGCGAGCGTTGTAATGCCGATACTTTAATTTTACCTTTCGGCGGAATGGCGGATTCCCGGTACGTCGGCACGAGCGTTTCTCGCGGCGCGTTGTCTCGCGTTGTAACCCCCGGTAAATAAACAACGAGCGTTTTCAATGTAAACCCGCCAGTTTAACTGTCCATTTTTAACTGTCAGGCGAAATTGTGCTGTTATAAAGTGGAAATGAGGAGGATGAAATTTGCATTGGGAGACGTCCGCATTATAAATCGAAACGAAACTTTGAAATTTTCTTCCTCGACGCGTGCGAAGCGCGCCTGCGAAGCGTTGTAATGACAGATAACTTCGACAAGTTTATCATACATTACAATTAATATCGGATCAACGAACAGTGATATTTCTCGCGTATGACGACGTGCGATATGTAAAATATCGGCTGTGCGCGACTCTTAAACGAGATTACTGGTGGAAAAGTGAACGTAGAACGTGAATTTCGCGGGATAAAATCCAATTTGCAAACGGGATTAAAAGGCATTCACAAGCACAAAGCCAAAGTTTCGCTCAGCTGCTTGATACGTTTGCACGAATGGAAACTCGGCAGGACAACAAGCGGGAAAGTCAGTTCCTCTTCTTCGTTTAGTTAGACGGTGTACAAGCAGACTCTACGTTTACATTCGCTCGCAAGCACGATTATTGTCACGCTCCGGGTTGGAAATAATGTTTCCTGACAAAAAAAATACCCAATACTGATAGTTTTCTATAAAAGAGGATTCTAATTTGGCATAATTCACACGAATTTATGACCATCGGTACGTCGTAATTGCAATTTTTCAATCAGATTTGCAATCCTTTGCGGATAATTGTCAAAATGTAAAGACCGTCCAATTGTTGAAATTGAGATATTATTTTGAATGCCCTTTTGTTTTAAATGCCATTTTTGTTGATATCCATTAAATTCGAAATATTTCATATCGTAGGTCATACTATTTCGATATTTCGCACCTCGTACGTGCGAAAGATTCCGATCGTTGCGTGCGCGTTGCGAATGTATGTATGCTCTATTATTCTTCCCCAGATATCATTTTGAACTTCAGAACAACGTACGTGAGCAGGAAGGGCGAAGTCGTCAGCAATAGCAAGAGCATCGCCGTGAATTACGTGAAAGGCTGGTTTTTTGTCGACCTCGTAGCGGCATTGCCGTTTGATTTTCTCTATGCCTCGGACGTTTACAGCGGCGAGGTGGGTATCCTTCATTCGCTCACAAACAGCTTTGCGAGCTAGCTTATTTACCGCCTTGTAAAAAGTTGATAGCTTTACGGGAATTCTTTTGCAAAATATTGAATTCGCAATCTTGTCTTGCGATCAAATTGGATATTCATTACGGCGGATCAAATTGGATATTCTTTACGGCGTTTTCTAACTTTTAATCTAATCCAAGAGAAATTTCTCGGTTTGATAATACGGAAGTTACGAAAAAAAATTAAATATTGAGGAAATCTACGGTTGGATGAAGAAATCTATGTGAGGCCGTACTTGTAATGTGCGTTATTATCACGTCCTAATATCAATTTTGCAATAATTGCTAATTTCAAATTTCCGTCCAGGCATCAAGCCAATCAAGAGAGGCTGAATTAATTAATCTGCCCCAGGTGTAATAGAAAATCAATACTCTATGTCAAAATTAATTATTAAATCGCATAAAAATATTCGCAAAACTTGTGTCCTTAATTGAATACTCGAAATTATCCTAATTAAATATTCATATCGAATAATAAAATCTTTATAGCAATAAAATGTACAATAAAATGTATAAAATGTATAACGATTAAAATTATCACGGCACTTTAGGTATGTACATCTTGAAGACGTTATGCAGATTCTAATGTAAACTGTTGAGAAGGGTAGATAAACGTTTCCTTATCGATCTCTGTTACAGGAATCGGCGCACAGTAACATCCACTTGGTGAAACTCACGAGATTACTGAGACTCGCGCGGCTGCTACAAAAAATGGACAGATATTCGCAATACAGCGCGGTAATTCTAACGATGCTTATGCTCTTTTTCATTGTGGTAGCGCACTGGTTGGCCTGCGTCTGGTACGTTATCGCCGAGAAGGAGAGATTGCGGAATGACAAGGATTGGGATTTAGGTAAGTCACTCCGAGTCGCCTCGGCGATTACTTAATAATAATCGATAAATTGTATCGTACCGTCGTAGAATTTTTACGAGAGATGGAAAATTTTGTCCGCGAAGCCGACAGCTCGATCTTCGATCCTTCGAGAATACGCGAATATCTATATTCGTGCAAAAACAATCTGCAGGTGATCTTCGTGACCTAGAAAAATCCCCCGACTATATCTATCTTAAGAAAGCATGTCTACACTTCGTAGAATTGCGTAGAATGTCTGAATGGATCTGTAGCTGTAGAAGAGATATCCTATCGACATGAAAGCTCTTGAGCATGAGATTTGCGGGGGATTGTTATTCAATAGTTATAGTGAAACAATTTCAATATAAGAATGCTCTCTATAGAGAAATATAAATCCCTTTCCCATGTTTTAAAAGTAAAAATAAAAGTTAATATTTGTGCAGATATTTGTGGGATTGTGTTTTTATTAAATTGTACGAAAATACAGTAACGCACGAAGCAAAGCAAGAATAAATTAATTGAACGGTTTATTGCAGTAAAAGGTGAGCTAAAACGTTGGAATTGCCATTAATATGTTCTAGGCTGGCTACATACCCTGGCTGAAAAATTGAAAATATCAGTGCAAAACGTTACGCACACAGAGAGCTATATAACAGCATTATATTTTACTTGCAGTAGTTTGACTTCCGTTGGTTTCGGAAACGTTTCGGCAAACACGTTCTCGGAAAAGTTTTTTTCCATTTGCACGATGTTGATCGGGGGTAAGTTTTTCCGAAGAATTACGGATTTCGTCATGCAGTCAATTAGTCGAAGATCCACCACCCTTTTACGTTCCAGCTCTTATGCATGCTGTGGTGTTCGGTAACGTTACTGCAATCATTCAGAGAATGTATTCTAGAAGATCCCTCTATCAAACGAAATTACGAGATCTCAAAGATTTTCTAGTCTTACATCAAATTCCAGAAGAGCTCAAGCAACGAATGCAGGATTACTTTCAGACTATGTGGTCATTAAATCACGGTATTGACGTGCACGAGGTAACAAGACACCGAGACACTCTTGTCCATTTTAATTAAAATATTAGAGTGTACACATATTTTTATACCGATATCAACAAGTTCTTGAAAATTATATTACTAAAAGGGAATTAATATTGGAAAAAATTAATATTGCGTATTGCATATAATAATTGTCTACTATTGCATCACATAAGAATTTCTCTGTAGACTCTCAAACAATTTCCCGAGGAACTGCGGGGAGATGTTTCAATGCATCTTCATCGAGAGATTTTAAGTTTACCGATATTCGAAGCCGCCTCACAAGGATGTCTGAAGTTGCTTTCACTCCATATCAGAAACAACTTTTGCGCCCCCGGCGAATTTCTCGTCCACAAAGGCGATGCGCTTTCATATATCTATTACCTGTGCAATGGATCTATGGAAGTTGTGCAAAACAGCATGGTGGTTGCAATTTTAGGTAAACAACAACAAATTTAAATCAATATTCGCATCCGACTTATTTTTCTATCCATAAATAATCGTGGTTCGCGTTCGTTTTATTCATTCGATAATGCTTAAATTAAAAAAAAATTCGACGTTAACATTACGTGTCGAGATAAGTTTAAAAAAATCTTTTTTTATTGGCATACAACTCGACGTACATTAATTCCCGAGTAAATTTCAACTCTGACGTATCTTTCAAGGGAAGGGAGATTTAGTGGGTTGCGATATAAATGTTCACCTGCAACACGGAAGTAACGGTGGCGGCACGACTGGATCTGGCTCGGTTGACGTTGTAAAATCCAGCTGCGACGTCAAGGCGCTAACATATTGCGATTTGAAGTGCATACACATGCAGGGCTTGGTCGAAGTCCTCCGACTTTATCCCGAGTATCAGCACGAGTTTGCGCACGATATACAGCACGATCTTACGTACAACTTGCGTGAGGGATACGAGGCGGAGGTAATTAACTCTATGTGCCCCGCGAAGAGAGGGAAAGGGAGTGGAGCAGGCCAAACGAAAGGGGAGAAAAAGACAAAATTGCTAAAGGCATGAAATGTCATCTTAATTATTTTGAAGATATATTTAAAGAATTACTGAAAAAAGTTTCAAGGCATTTAAATATTTGTATATGTGTGTTTGTGTGTTGTGTAAAAATGTTTTATCTTTAATTTCTTTAAAAGTAGAAAATAATTTTAAAATATTTAATTTTTTATAAAATATATTATAAAATTATAATATATTTTATATTGTTGGTAAATTTTGATAGAGACATCAAATAAAGGAAAATTAATTATGTTGTATGTTGCTTTAGTATATCTATACAAAAAAATACGTATTATTTTACGTAATTATTTAAAATACGTATTATTTTACGTAGTATTATTTTACGAAAATTAGAGTTAGATTCTGGTTAGGTATTAAATTTACCGGTGTTCTTGTCGCGTGAATTTTAGCAGGAGTCCGATGTAAATGGCCCGTCATTGACACTGCCCTCCATCAGCGAGGACGACGAGAATCTAGTCGAGGAGGGCGAAACGTCTCCTTTATCACCCCCTAACAAATCACCACTTCACACATCTTCGAGTCCGCGGCATGCCAAGTTCAGGTAAAAAAAAAAATCACTAAGATCATTGACGTTTCCTTATAAAATATAGAAAACTAAAAGGAAAGGTACGCTTATAGTAAACGACGACGAGATAAAAATTTCACCGTTGTAAAAAGCTTCGGATAATGAATAGAAAGAAAAAAAGTTAATCTAGTGGTTTAGAATTTTTTGTTCCTTCACTTTTCCCGACTTGATAGTCTTTCTTTTTTTGCAACCTACTTTTTCTAGAAAAGCTTAAGTACATTTAATTCTTTTTATTTATCGATGTAGATTATATATTGTTACGAGCAGTCCTTTTTTTTTTGTAGTATTTGTAGTATTTGAAGTATCTTATCAAGTAGCATTTAAGTGCGCGATAAAGAAGGAGTGTAAGAAAAATACTTTGGCTTGTAAGACGCCGTTCTCAATTTGTCGATACCTTTTCTGAAAAAGGAAATCCGCAATTGTAAGATAACAGGATTTTCCGCTTCCGGAGAACTTGGGAAATATCCCAAAGTCGCGTTCGATCCGTCTTCAGACGTTGATATATATATATATATATATATACCTATATCAGCGGCACATTGTAGTGGGATATAATCCACTTTTGGATTTCTCACTTTGAAATTTTCATGCCGTGATTTCGATATCGTCTCGCTGAGCGTTCCCGATATCTCAGATCGGGTGCTCGCATAATGAGGAATAAAGTTAACTTTGTTTTAAAATATCAGGGAGGATTATAGAGAAGCGAGACGAGCAGGACGGGGAGTCTTGTTGCGAGGGGGAAGGGCAGCGCAAGTGATCGCGCAAGAATCTATGGAGGAGCACATTCGAGGATCTGTTGAGAGACTCGATAATCAATTTTCTACGCTGCATCAAGACGTTGCGACGCTCAGTTGCGAGGTATTTTATACTCCTTTCCTTTATTTCCATTTCCGGCACAGATATATTATGTGAAATTGCTTTAGATACCTATCTCGGTAGGTATATACTTACTACCGGTACTTCTCAGAGATTTCTTGGCTTTAAAACATTATAGTTTTTAAACCTTGTAAAGGAAAAGTGTAAGAAACGAATAAGTCATAAAAAAGAAAAAGAATTTACTCGGAGAAATTCATTGTGTAGAGCTGGATTTATTAATTTCTATTCTTTTTCCATTCGCGCAAATTTCAACCTCCTCGGATTTGCGAGGGGATTAAATGATACGCGTTGGATCGACAGGTGCGCAACGCCATTCAAGCGTTGCAGATGCTCGCCTGCTCACCCCAGAGTAATCCGAATCTGCCGACCCCGGCGGCGAGCCGCGGCAGCGGGGTCCTCGCGAGGAGCTCCTCCCATCCCCCGGATGCCATTTGTTGGAATCCGCCGGAGAGATTGATCGACATGTCGACGCAGACGGATTGGCCGGTCGACCTGTACGAGGCGTGGGTGCGCGCGAACCCACGCAGGGCCCTGAAGGCCCTCGGTCTCGATCCGGACGTCGTTCTGAGCCTGCCACCTCCGTCGCCCACGCCGTCGCCGTCTTCGCCTCCGCCGCCGCCTTACGAACCCCTATCACCTTTGGCGGGCTCACCCCAGCAGTCGCCCTCGCGAACTCCAACGACAGGTAATTATGCCCCGGGCTTTATATAATGGATAGGAGGGAGACCTTTGCGCTGGAAGGGGGGTTTGATTAAAACAATGACTAAATACACAAAAGTTCTTCATCGTTTCGAAACTAGGACGATCTCTCGGGCGAGCAAAATACACGTAACGCACAAAAGTGATATTTTCTGGAGGAATAAATATACATTTTCCCTCGTGGACGAAGTACTCATATATTATATTATATACATTACGAAAGAGATACGTCTAGTCACTCACACACGGTTTCGCGAACGTACGTTTCAATCTTTTTGTAATAGGGACATCCTTCCGAGGAGAAAATACTCCCCCATGGAAGGAGGTTTCTCCATTACGTTTTTCTTACAGAGCGGAGATATCTCTATACGTTATACGGGGGAAATTGTGTCTTTCCGTTCTCTCGTACGTTTCCACAAGAAGTGCCTTCATAAAAGGATTACGCAATGGTGAACTTGAACTTCCAAAGGGGGCTAAATCCCCTTGCAAAAGGGATAAATACCCTTTCACCTTAACCACGTTCTACACGAGGGATATTCCCTCGCGCGCGAGTCACTTGAGTCATCTCTCTGATACACGAACATATGTTTTGCGCGGATATTTTCTCTTCTGACAGGGGTATCTCTTCGTGAAAAATAACCACTTCGTGACACGACCGACACGCGCGCATTTATTCACTATTATTACGAGTCGCGTAATAATCGCCGTAGTTACAAATTCTGCCCAGCGGTTCTCCACGCGCATCTGCAATAATGGAGACCCCGGCATAAGTTCCCGTCTCGGGCGTTGACGGAGTCTCAAGATTCTGCTTTTGGACCGATTTCAGGAAACGACAGCTACGTTTTTGGAATTACTCGCGACGCTCCGCACATTCCTCGATTATACAGGCCGCCCAATTCAGCCTGGGATCCCGACAACAAGCTGTGGCACCGCTTCAGCGCCGGCGACGCCGACAACACGTCGCTCTATCAGGCGTTGCGACGTCTTCCGGAGTCACGCTCATTAAAGTTCGATCCGTTCGATAGTTGAACTAGTTAAGTCCTACGGCAGGAGCCTGCAAAAATCCACACTCCGCTCAAAAATCCATTTCTCGGCGATCGGCGTGAAAACGAAAAAGACACCCGGATCGGAAAAACATGGCGAAATTGCAAGTCTAGTAAATTTAACGATGAAATAATTTTGCGCATAAAGAGGAAACGATATTTGAAATATTTCGATTCGGAGGCTTGGGAAAATTAATCTTCTAATAGCTAACTGATTCGATCAACGCGATAATCCCAAAGCTACAGGCTGGAGGCAATAATGTTTGATTGGCAGGTTAATCACGATTTTGTCAAACTTGTTGGACTTGTTCATCGGGATAAACATTCTATCGCTTTAATGTTAACAGAATGGAATAATTTCTGATAAAGTAAAAACTGAATAAACGCGGAAAATGTTGTTGGGGAATTGGTCCGCAGTCCGCGATAGGAATGAATGACCGATGATATATAAATATGATATTGATCAAAAAGTGGTCATTTCAAATCACGGTCGATAACGCATAATGCATATTCGGGCTCGTAATATAATTCATTGTAACGTAAGTTCGCTCGTTCGCGCGATACTAGATTACTCGTAAATTGACATTTATGTTTCCTTTCGTCGTTAATGTCAATTCGTCGGTCTCGTTGCAATATTTAACTCTTGAATGCACCCGGTCGTGTTGATTACAAGATGAGATAAATTAAGACTGACGTGATATGCATATCAGAGCAAGTACACTTACGGTATTTTGTTTAGGCAAAAGCGAAAAACATTATTATACAAATATTTTTTATGTCTCATATTACGATATATAAATGTACGTATATCGATATATGTCCGATTATAATATCTCATCGAGCGATATACATTTATTTCTATAATTTGTTAATATTATTTATAATCAGTAAGTAGATAATATATTCCAATAAAAATATTTTTAAATTCAAAATTTTCTAAATATATTTTTTTATGTATAATTATGTATACATTATTACATATAAAAGTTTGATTAAAATCTGCATTCAAGGGTTAAGCGATATTATATATATATATAAAACATTGTCCTAGGCATTTCTCACTGCCAAACAGGATAATACCTGACTTTATATATCTCTGCTCTTTCCGTTCTCAAAATAGTATATTCATTCTCTCGAATGAAATAGACTCTCGCCTGCGCTATGCTCCACTATGCAACTATATAATTTAATAATTACAGAACGTACGTTGAAAACGTGCGCCTCGAAACAATCCGAGAATTATAATTATCCTGCCGTCTATAGCCTGCGTATCCTGGAAACCTAAAAGTCTACACCACCTATGTGAAACCTATATAAAGCGTTTTCTACTCGACATATAAATGATTATATATATAATTTTGTAGATAGAGTCGTACGCGTACATTTAATTCATGCTCATAATAAACGCGTCAGCTTTGAAGAATATCGGTCTTCGCTATTACGATTAAGTTGTGTCTGTCTCCGCTGAAACAAGCCGATCGCTTCGCGCTGCTCTCCGTCACGGCGAGGCTAATTCCATGGGGGGTATCACGAGAGAGTTACGAGTTCGTTTATCCAAAAGTTAGGGTAGCAATAATGTGCACATAACACACATTTTCAATGTACACCATCGACGTCCAATCTAGAGGGTATTCGTAGTATGTTCGTTAAGTAGATACGTTAAACGATACGAACGGGCACGTCTTCGGCAGAGGAGACGACGATTTGGCGATTTCCGGAAGTGACGCTCCGTCTTACGGCGCGAATAATCCCTCGAGGGATTATCCATCTGTGTCCATCGTGAGATCGCCGCGTCACGGGAATCTGTATTTATCTATAAGTACATCGTAGATTAATCAGACGTGTACATATATATAGAGAAAAGCGACGTTAAAAAAATATGTGATAAGGCACGGCTTTGGCCATGCACGACTACGTTCGTTCAAGTACTTCCGTCGTTATTTGTGAAAAATCCGCCGTGCTACGAACCAAATTTATTAGAGCTCAATTCCTCGTATGTGATATATTTGATAATGTCCGTATATCTGTTCGATTGTTTCGGTAATCCTGGATTATCTGATATTGAAAAATATATATTGGTCGATTCTCGGTTTATCAAGCGGCTATCGCGCAAGGGGGTGGGGGGGGGAGGGGAAAAAGTAATTACGTAATATCGGAAAAGCACACGAAATTACTTGAAAACTTTTATTAGGTGAGAGATATGATGAGAGATATTTTTTTCACAAATACCGCTGGAAGGGGCTGTTTTATAAATATTTCATATATTTTGTTATACTATTTCTATGCTCCTCGCATTATAATTCAAGCTAGGTATATATTGTAACATGTTATCTGACACTCTTCGTGACTTCTACCACTTTTTACACTTCTAAACAGGACTGCGAGGTAAGTAAGCGCGATCCTCCCGATCGGAATCTATCCATAAGACGGTCAATAAGCACAAACGTAATAAAAAAAATTTTCTTCCTAATTATCTGCTCGAAGTCGAGGACCTCGTTAAGAATATCTTTAAGAATATTTTTTGACTAGCTGATTGAACGTACAAAGGAAACAAACGTTAGCAACGTTGTTCACGTTAATCCCTTATCGTGCAGCCCCACTTTCCCATCGTGAAAGATTGCACTCACAAAACAGGCGTGTGTCAGTGATGTAAAAATAGATATTAAAGTATCCTACCTCTTTAAAGGGAAGAGAAATTTAATATTTTCATCGGCAATAACATTTACGAAAGATTCTATGGAGAGAATAGATTGTGAGACAAACAGTTTGCCATTTGGAATGATGCGATAAAATCTTGGAGAGAAATAGAAATTTTTATCGGATTGCGTATACACCTGATGACGCTGCGCCATAAGGGGTTAATTCAGAATTATTATACGTATACATAACTGCGCGTACAAAAATAAGCCGCATATTTACGTATGACGTCAAGAGATTATCCAAAGTTTCGAGCTCTGCGCAGTCGTGTTTTTCATTATACATTTACCGAACTAGGTAGGAAACTTCAAATGACGGCCTTAAAATAAAGATTTATTTTTTTCACGACGATAAATGTCTGGCAACAGGTGAAACGAGGGTAGAGAAGCGAAACAATCTTTAAAAATGATTCGCCGAGCGACAGACGAAAATAAAACAGGAAATACGAAAGAGGAGGAAGAAAGAGAGAGAAAAAAATAGGTATTTCTTCTACGACGTTAATCCTTATAAAAATATATATATCTGAACGTTTGTAAATATTTTTAAACACTTGTACAATGTGCTTATAAGTGGCATTCTTTGTTCGACAGATGGGTTACAAATAATAATAAATAAAAAATAATTATAAGCTACACTGTGAAACAAATATTCTCTTCGCGCGCGTCAAAATTTCTTCCTAAAGTATTACAATTTTGCAAAAAAAATTATACGTGT